ACCACCCAGCTAAGCTGACTATTGAAGTAAGCGCTGCATTTTTTTTCTGTCAGCTCTGCGGTCAGTACAACAATTAGATGCCAATTTTTGGATTAGTATCAGTGTCTCCACCCTGCATACAGCTGCCACAGTGATAAAAGAATTCCAAAGTCCTGTTTCAGCTTGTAATTTTCCAAACACTGTACCTGGATACTGTGTGTTTTATTTTTGTTGTTTCTCTTTCAGGCATATAGAGCTGCCATGCAGACGCAGTGGAGCTGGATTTTACAGCTCTGTTCATGTGTAGAGCAACATCTCAAGGAGAATGCTCTTTATTTTGAGGTGAGTTGCTGCCTATTTTTCAATCAGTACAGCAATGTGCATTTGTTTGTCTCGGCTAATTTATTTATTTTTCCTGTTCATAGTTTTTCAGTGATGCCAAAGAGTCCATAGACTACCTAAAGAGCCTGCAAGATGCCATTCAAAGAAAATACAGCTGTGATCGAACAAGCAGCCTCCACAGACTGGAGGATCTCATACAGGAGTCCATGGTAAACTGATAGAAAGATATCAAGTGTGCATGTATGTAGAAGTAAACAAAGGAAACAAATGCATTGTATCTGTGTTGTGTTTCTAGGATGAGAAAGAGCAGCTTCTTCAGTACCGCAGCACTGTAGCTAGTTTAGTGGGAAGAGCCAAAAATATTGTGCAGCTCAAGCCCAGGATCCCTGAAACCTCTGTGAGATCCTCCATCCCTGTAAAAGCCATCTGTGATTACCGTCAGATAGAGGTATTGTTCTTCATGCAATAGTACACCATATTTTATTTACAAGTTTTATACTAAAGCTGTGCTGTGTCGGTATTACAACTCTTCAGATTACTATTTATAAAGATGATGAGTGTGTATTGGCTAGTAACTCTCACCGGGCCAAGTGGAAAGTCATCAACCCCACAGGGAATGAGGCCATGGTGCCTTCTGTTTGTTTCACTGTGCCTCCACCCAACAAAGAGGCTGTTGATATGGCAACAAGGTGAGATGCTAGTATTCATTGTGTTTCTTGCACTAAAATTAAAGTTACTTCATTAGTTCAAATGCCACTGAATACACATATTCTTGCGACCAGAGTTTGCTGGGATTATCAATGCCTTTGGCTTTTCCTGCAGAACTGAGCAGTTATACCAGAATGTCCTGGCACTGTGGCACCACTCCCACATCAACATGAAGAGTGTGGTGTCTTGGCATTATCTAATGTCTGATATACGAGCCATTCGCAACTGGAACGTGGCCTCAGTATGACCTTTTTTGTTTTACTTTTAAGACTCTTTAATTAATCCCACTTTTCAACACAAGCTGATGATTTTTAATGATGATTCTAAGAAAAATGCAAAGTGCATGTTGGTCTTATTTCCACTTTTATTTCTCTGACTGATTCAGATAAAGACCATGTTACCAGGTGAGCATCAGCAGGTCTTGAACAACCTACAGTCCCACTATAACGAGTTCCTGGAAGACAGTGAGGAGTCCGAGGTTTTTACAGTGGCAGACTGCACCCAGTTAGAAAGAGATGTTATGGCCTGCAAGGAGTACTACCAGGAACTGCTCAGATCTGCAGAGAGAGGCAAGGCTCAGATTTCTTTCCTGTCCCTCCCTGCCAGGTGCTGCTGCTAGCACACATTTGAATACAACATTGCAAGGAGAACAAATGGCTCCTTAAGCCTTTAAAGCCTTTTGGGATTATGTTTTTTTCTAAAGAGGTGACTGCTTTTGCTGTGAATGTAAAGATTGGGACGTTGCTAATGTGCAGTTATAATGGTTTTACATTCTGGAATGCCTGGAGGAAAAAAAGAAAGTATTTGTCATGTTATGCTACAAAGATCTGTTGAGATAAACAGGAACACATATGTGTATACAGTATTTTACATATATGCCCCTCCCCTTTTAAAAATGAAGCTGTTAACTTGTTCAAGTTTTACTAAAACCACTTACAACTTAGAGGTATAAAAGTGCAACTGATTTAGTCATGTTGCAACAGGTCTTTCTTGTCCTTATGCTGTGACAATGATGCCCCCTAGAGGTGAACCTGTGTGTGACACTATATGTAGGTTTAAGACTCACTTTGTTTTATTTTAACATGATATTTTACATAAAATAGTTCTGATTTTCAAATGGCAGCAAATTTTTACACTGGCTGTTTAAAAATGTATATTTTATGCTGTTATGTTTGTGGTCTTACAAATTATGTTTTTGGTAAACAGAGGAACGTGAGGAATCGGTTTACAATCATTACATCTCAGAAATACGCAAGTTCCGCATGCTTCTGGAGGCCCACGAAGAACACCTGATTAGGCAAATCCACACACCACTGGAAAGAGACGACCTGGAGCAGAGTCTGCAGTGCATCACAGACCATGAGGTACACATCTGGGTATCAGTAAGCATTTAACAGTGAGCACTTACTGGTGTCATTATATTAGTCATGATTTTCTTCATGCCACTTTGCAGAGGAAGATGACAGAGCTAAATAAATTGAAGCAAGATTTTGATGTCATGAAGGAGAAGTGCGAGCTGTTCCTCAGACAGGCTGCAGGTTCTTCGTCTGTACCAACGCTGTCCTCTGAACTCACTGTGCTTGCTCAGAGTATGAGCCAAGTCTACTCCATGTCTTCTATTTATATGGACAAGTAAGACATTCTCTTCATTGTCCAGAAGTGATTACTCTAGTATCCATTAGTTGAATTAAAGACGCATTCCCTTTTTTTTGCAGACTGAAAACGGTGAGCTTAGTGTTGAAGCACAGCCAGAGTGCAGAGGCACTAGTTAAAGCCTATGAATCCAAACTGTATGAGGAAGATGCCATGAACTCCGACCTCAGGTCAATTGAGAGTATCATTTCAACACTTAAGGTAATACATTATTTGGACAAAACATTTCACCAACACTGTCACTGGTTTTAGTTTGTTTTGTGCAGTTACTCCTCTTTATTATTATTATTATTTTTTATAGCAATGGCGGACAGAGATCGATGAAAAGCAGGAGGTTTTCCATGACATGGAGGATGAGCTGCAAAAAGCACGAGCCATCAGTGTCCTCATGTTTAAGTCTCACAATGAGCGGGATTTCGATCTTGACTGGCATAAGGAGAAAGCGGATCAGCTGAGTGAGAGATGGCAGAACATTCACTCCCAGATTGATAGCAGGTTAGTGGTTTTTGGAAAAAAAATTTTGGTGGGGGG